CCCAAGCATGTGTAATAATGCCCTTCTTTCAGTCACTCCCTGTTGTTGCCAACCTATACTTACACTTTTGCCTCCTGAAAATGTAAAAAATAAAATTAACATGCCTTTGCATGTTTAGACACTGGCTGGAGAATGCTGAGACTTATAGGGCATTTTTCTGTATAAACATATATAGGATTGTGCCCTCAACTGGTCAGTGAAATTGTAGTACTATTGTATATTGTTTAAAAGCTTACAGTGCAATCCTGAACATGCATTCTTAGAGGTAAATGCATCTGAGTTTAATGGGGTTTACTCCTAGTACGTTTTATGTAGGACTGCAGCTTTGGAAAAGCCCTCTTCTGCTTACTACTTGTTAATCCTACACAAGCTAATAAAGTCCAGCTCAAACAAAGAGCATGTTTTTTTTAAACCTGGGCCTTGACTTTGGCAAGCTTCTGCAGAAGTGTCATTGCTTCAAAGCATCCACCAAGACTGCATCTCTATGTATCTTAATGAAGAAATCATTTTAGGTCAACCACCAAGCTTTGAGATACTTAATAGAAAATGTTGTATGACAGTAACAGCCTTCACGAATCTTATACCCTCTTAAGTGTTTTAGATTTCTATTCAAATAAATATCCATCTGTATCAAAAGTATAGCAAGGTCCATAGTCTATTGCATCACAGAAACTCCTCAGTGCTTATTCTTCCAGGTTTGAAATATCAGTCTTTTAGCTGTCAAAATGGTACAGTGAAACCATTTGCCTTTCCAACTCTTAATTTCTATGGAACAGGTAAATAATTTAAAAATAGTGCAGGTAAATGTGCATCAGTAAATATTAAAGGTTGTTCCACTACAAAATGGATCTATGTAATAAATAACTTTTTTTCCCAAAAGAAGTGACTACTGGACTTTGCCAAAAGATATGTCGAAAAGAATCATTAGCTGTATTGCACCATCAGAAATTGGCTGAATTAGACATTTTCTTATGTAAGCGACATTATCCTGTCCAATAAACACAAAGCAGAAGTTCTTTTCTGAATAAGAAACCATTTAAGACCCATAGACAAGATAGGTAGATTTCAAAGCAGCAACCAACCAGTTAGGAATTTTCTTGTCATGTCCACAATATTTACCCAAATATGTCCACTGAAGCAAAAAGTTGAGGACCCCTAAACTAGTCCATTGCTGAAATGTGAGTCTGTGTAGTATTGGTCTTTGCATATTCTTTGACCTCTAACACTTGCCAAAAAGCAAGTTTAAAACAGCCATATAGTCCTTTGTTAATTTTTTTCTGTGAAAGTATGCTTTTTGCAGAACCAAAGTCTGAATTGTTCTGAGTCATATTCTTAAAATAATAGTAATAAAAATGTGGCAGTCTGGAGATAAGGCTTGTCATTTTCTCAGTCCCATCGCAGCACAAATGGCAAGAGGTCAAATTGTCCTTGGGAAATTACTTTTCTTTTCCATAAATGTTTAAAGAGAAAAGTGCTGAAACAGCTGACTGGCATGAACACAGTTGCAATCTCGATATCTCATTTACACAGAGAAGTCCTTTCTATCTGGAATTACTTTGGAATATGCAGCCTGATAATTGTGAGGCACATACTCCTTTAATCCCCTGCCTTTATTGGCCTTTCTTATATATCACTACTTATTATTAAGTTAAGAAGCCTTGGCTATAGCTCAGCACAATGTCCAGTTAAAAAAAGGGAAAGGTAAGTAATGGAAAGATGCTTTGCTGGAGAGCCTCTACCAGTCAGAGCAGAGCATTTTTGATAGATGGGCAAAGAATTTCACTAGCTATCGGGCAGTTTCCTATGTTTCTCTGGCTAAACACAAGTTTTTTTCAGCCGTCTATCCTTATTGTAACATATCCTGCATTCAAACTTTTCATACCGAGACTAGTGAAAGGTTTAAAAATCTGCAGATCTGGAATATTTCATGGAGGTCTTGTCATCTGGTCTTGTGAAACCTTAATTCCTCATTACAAATCATTTAGAGGCAGGTAAGATAGGAGTTATTTGAACTGTTGAGTGGCACCATAATGAGGATGGAAATTAGCTGCTAAAAGCCATGCCTGCCTGCTTCTGGAATCCCAAGCAGGTCACTCATCAGCTTTTCCAAAAAGAGGGAGGATGCTATCAGGGCCAGAGCATGAACACATTTGGGTTGAATATGTCCTTCCCTCCGAAGGGTTGATGGGCTAAGAGCCAATTAGACCCTGTGAGATCTATGGAACAGGGAAGGGTGCGGGGAGTCCTAATGCTTCCAGAATTTGAAAGAACTCCAGTTATGATCCAGTGTACACTGGGAGGCCAAACTCATTCTGCTGTCCCATTGTAATGCATGAGGCAGAAACAGTACTTTTCAGGCTGAAGGCAAGAGGAATTATTCCAAGGTGGCATTGAACCAGAGGCACTGCCATAGATTTGTGTTGTGTTTTTATTACCATAGAACATGGGTATTTCTTAGGCTACAGTTCAAGGAACACTTACTGGTAAGCAACATGAAGCTCAGTAAGCATGCTTAGGGTTGCACTGTGAAGTGCAAAATGGCCCTAATAGTGGCTGATGGGGTTGCCCTTACAGAAATTTTGGACTGAGCCTGTAGATGCCAAATGTTCACATTGAACAATCCTACTGTCATTGCATAAGCACTGTTGAGCAACTGGCTGTAACTTACATAGGCATGATGAAGCAACTTGTGGGAAGCTGCAGTATTCCTCTGCATCAAGGTTAGAATGAACTAGCTGGTGGACTTTCACACCATTTATTTCCTAGGCTCTGACAACGTAGCTATAAAGTAGTAATAGTGGGAGCCAAAAGAAGCAAAGCCCTCTCTCTAGCCAAGGGCAAAAGATAAGCAACGTACATCAAAAGTAATCTGCCCTCTAGGGTATGGTAAATTAAACTGACTAGCTATGGAGTGAAGAAAGGTTTGAAGTAGGAAATTTCTCAGGAATATTTAACCACTGTCTGACCCTCTTAGGAGGATAAGTGCTGTGCTTCTTGGGAATATGCTGTTGCTGCAGAATATTCTGTTGCAATGCAGTAGCAGGAACCCAAGCAATTTATGCAATTGAACTGAGTTCCATGGACTGCCAAATGCACAGAGGGATTGACTTGTAAGCTGTGTGGTACAGCACTGCAGAAGAATAGGCTGTTGCAAGAATTTGGGAGAGCTGCAGGCATTACCCTGGAATAGCGGTGGCACATGTAAAATACCAGGGTGGTGAGAAGAGGAAGGGCAGCTGTGCCATTTACTGCAATCTTACATATGTTGACAGTTCCCTTTTTGATATTGCAATGCTGCTACCAGAAAACATGTATATTAACTCCAGAGCCTCTGCAAAAGAAGAGGGCAAATATTTATTTAATTATTTAACTAAAGCATTTCTATCCCATCCTTCACCTGGGACTCAGGATGGTAATACAACAGTAATGCACAGCATCAAGCAAAAGTAAAAACCCAATTTTAAAGCAATCATCAGATCTTAAAATACTGCAAAAATAAAAAGGGTTTGGCCAAGCACCAAAATGAATAATTGTCAGTGCCAGGTGCACCTCTCTGGGGACCATGTTCCAAAGCCAGGGCACCACCACAGAGAAGACCCTTCTCCAGGTAGCCACTGTCCTGATCTCCTTTGAAGGCCGATGAGGAGGTAACAGAGTTTAAAATCTGTTAAACATGGGCTTGCCAGGATACAGATTTTTCTGGTATCCTTCACATGTGCAGAAATACTTGTGGCTGCAACCCATTCCAGGTCACTTCAGAGCTGCAGTTCCTTTGTCCAATGTTAAGTGTATCTGGGATACATTTGTACTCTATATTTTTATTCACTGAAAAGTAACAATAAATGTGTCTTTGCTTGTAATAACTGCTGATGCAGTATTTTACTAGGACAGACCTAATAACTTGCAAGCTTTTACAAGAGATGTGCCTCTAGGGTGCTGCATAATCTTGACAGAAAGGGCAGCTGTTTGATAGTCTTCCTGACATGGAGGGAAAAGCTCTTACGTTTGATCAATGGCTGATTGGAGATAGATGCTTCTACCTAAAAGCACCAGAAAAGGTTCCAATCAGCCACCAATTGAAGATAAAAGTGCCTTTCCCTGGGGGGCAAGAGGCAGTTGTGGAGGAGGAAGCTGCTGTGTGATCCAGTCCTCCTCCTGTAGAGGCTTGTCCTGCTTATTTGTGAGTGCGACCATGCAAGTAGCAGTACTACCGTACTATAAATGGGTAATGAAAGAATTGAGGTAGGCTGGATTTTTCAGTATTGTACCCCACTCAATGTAGCTCTGAGAATGTCTCCAGAATGTCTCCTGTGACCCTAGGAGCAAAAAAGGGCTTCTGCCATATAATATACAATGTGTACTGTACAAGCCTGTAACTGCATGTCTGCTGAGTGTGCCTTTATTCTACAGAAAATTATATCTGAATTTCTTTTAATCCAGCACAATTTTATTTGCCCTCTGAGATATGCATGGAGCCCTGGGTTCAAGACAGTCCAGATGGTCCCTTTATCACTGCTTTCCTTAATCAGAATAAAAATAGTTTGTTATTTATACCATTAGTCTTCTACTGTTGGGTTGAAGCTCATGGGTGGGTTTTGCTCTTCTCTGAAGTGAGTTGCACCAAGGGCACTGCTGCTACTTTTCTTATCTGAGTGCTGGTGGTTTAAAAATCCTTATGAGAGGAAGAATGGGAAAAATGGGCACCTAATGTTAAAAAATGTAATGTTTGCTATCCAAAGTTTGGTCAAAGAGCAGTCATAGGTCTGAAAAAGTTGAAGACTTCAACAAGCATGTGTCTCTAAACCGTGGATTCCATTTCTGGGTGTGTTGCTGAAGGCTTTCTGTTTTCACTAGCATCTATTAATGCCATCTCAGCCAAGATCGGACGAATTTCTAGGAATCTGGCTGAAAGGGCATAGATAAGAGAAGATCTGCTTACCTCTGAAAGCCATTAAGAGGTAAAAGGTAGGTTAAAGGTTGGTTCTGTCAAGAAGCTTGTTGAAGTGTTTGGGCAAGAGTATTTGTTTGCTTATACAGCCTACGATACTGTCCAAACAGCATGCATTTTCTTAAAAGGGACAACATTCAGCCTCCCAATAGGTTGTATGGGTGACGGAGAGAGCAAGAATAGCGTCTCCTTTTTAGGTAAAGCAAAACAAACAAAAATGCATTGACATTATGTGTTTCGCGTGACCAAGGTAGCCTGGGTTAGCTTTTGCTGGGTGGAAATAGTGATCCGTCTAGCAGCTGTTTCAATATGTGGGCACGTCATTACGCATCATGCAAGAACCCATGTGAGTATAGATTTTTCTAGAGTTGCTAGGAAACCGTTAATACTGAGTGCAGCAACCAAAAAAAGCCATTCCACTGGAAACTATTCCGAGAGAAGCCAGTAGGTGTCACCCGGGAACCGAGGCAGCCTGTACAAAATGGTCACATGACTTCGAATGCTGGCTGATCTGGGTAAGATTCACCATTAGACTTGTTTACTCGTCAGGCTGATGTGTTCCTCCAGTTTATCAGGTGTGTATTTCTCAATTAGCAGCGTCATTCGATGCTGCCTTTTTCCCCTTGATAGATTGCAGAGCCTGCTTTCTGGAATGGACAGAACTTTAGTAACTCTGGAAGTGTTTACACCTCTGAAGGACTTAGCTCTGCTGGATCCCACTTCGTACAGTGGTAACCTGTACCTAGCAACTGTTGAAGAGAAATAGAATTACAAAGAACGTCCCCTTCCATCTCGGGAAGCATGGTTGTAGCTAGATCCTTCCCTGTTTTAAAAGAGGTGGGGTTCATGCTCGTGAGGCCTTGAAAATATAACAAGATTTGAATGCTAATAATTCTCTTTTACTGCGATGGAGAAAATTCCAGGATTATTATTTAGAAGCTGCTGGAAAAGTATGTCTTTCTTTTTGCACAAAAAGGTTAGCCAGTTTAGCAAGTAGACAGAGCGTTTGATAATGGTGTACTGGGTGTTGGCACCAGTATTTAATGGTGGCAGGAAACAGCATCTGTTACAATAATTGCTTAAAGGAGACTGTAATGCCAGGAGTTCTAGGACGTGTTTCTGTCTCAACATGCACAGTATTGTACTGTTAGTCACAATCCTAATCATTTGTTGACGCCAAGGGATTTTTAAAAAAAAAGAAAAATCAGGAATGGAAACCACTGCTTCATTCTAGCTAATTAATAAAGCACCATGTGGGGGGGGGATTTTTGTACAAATTTGCATAGCTTTTTCTCCACCACATTAGTTCATGTGGTTCTCCACCCTTCTTCCTAGATTAAACCAATCTTTGAAAGTCAAAGCTCTAGCCTTTGCACAGTATGCAAATGTCTGTAATGATAAAGTTTTGTGAGCTTTATGTTTGTCTGGAAAATGTTGGTGACGCATGAACAAACGTCACATTCATGACCGACTTGACCTTCCATTGATGGTGGAAAGTAAACTTGTGTGGCAGAATTTTATCTGGGGTGCGATAATCTAAATAGTCTGTCTGTTGAGTAAAGAAGCAGTTTGTTCTGTTAGACTATCGGTAGCTGCTCTTATTGGCATAAATAGAAGCATTGTTACAGTTCGTTTGAAAATGCCTGGCATGTGATAAGTCAAATGAGTGGAAAAGCTTAACAGACAACTGGAAAAAAAGCTTCAGCACTTATAATTCTGTTGGTGTTCAGTGACTTGGATCGATTCGGAGTACAGACACTTTGTCCATGGAATGTGTATCTATGAAGCAAACTATTAAATTCTTAGAGATGTTCATGAATGAAAACCATGCAATGGGGTAAGCCTGGATCCAGGGGAGCACGGGGGCAGTCACAGTGGGCGATTCATATTTTTACAGCTGTTGTGTGTATAAATTGTCCGTAGGAAGAACAGGTGTCCCACCAGATGTGGGACTGCAGTAGGTAACTTAGATTTCCAAAATCGGAGAGAGAGAGAGAGCGCACTGCTTTATAACCTACATGGTAAGGAAGTGAAATACATGGTCCATCCCTTTATGCTGGTGTTATATTGATTCTCTATTTATAGACTGATGCCTTCTAGTTCAAAAGAGATTCACCCCCTGAAGGAATCAATACAAATATCCACGAATTATCCTGCAAAACTAAGGCATTGCAAAACTTAAGAAAAATAAATGCCAAGCCTTTACTGATGGTTGCATTTGCACATAACAGCTGCTGTTCTGTTAACTTTGTTTTGTGACTGTAACCATAAATTTGTCTTTCTATAGCTTATTTTCCCCATCTCTGCGTTTGGTACCCTATTATTTTGCAAGCCTTCAGAGAAGTTTCATTTTCAGATTGTTCTTGCTGGGCACTTCTGCTTCAGGGTGAACAGTACTGCAACAAACAGCAACTGTTTTGTATTTAGACAACATGCTTTAAACGAGAAAGATAAGCCAACATCAAACCATGACTTCTTTTTGTGCCTTGCTGCTGGTTAAAATGCCATGTGTTGTTTGCAGGGATGAGTTCAGACTCAGTGGCCTGTTTGCATGGTCACCCTAGCACACCATCCAGAACCAGACCATGGTTATGGGTGCTTTGTTAGCCACAGCAATAACCCATCTTTGCCAAGTTCAGATGCCATGATAAGCTGCAGCATGCACTATAACCCATCACAATCTAAATAACGCCTGATAGACTGTGGTGATCATGCAAGCCAACATGGTGACTCATTTTGCGTGATCATGTTGGTTATTTGGCAATTGCCACCCTTTCCCAAACAAGTTATGCTGTTTGGGCAACCAAAGAATCTGGGGCCTGCTGGGAAAAATCACTGTGTGAATACTGAGTCCTATGCAAGTCTGACTAATGTAACACCATGTATGTTTACACAAGAAAGTAGTACTCCATAACATACTGTCTGTAGTACTGTTAAAATGCCAGCTCTGAGACATTTTATCTTCTGAGACATTTTATCTTTTGTTAAAATGTGTGTGTAAATGAGTTTTCCCTAACCTGGTGCCCCTGAGAGATCCTGGACTTCCGCTTCTATCAGCTTCAGGGATGTTAGGAGGTGATGATCTGGAGGGCATTTATTGGGACAGCTGGTCTAAATATTTATGCAATACCTTGATGTGCTTTTAACTAAATTTTTATTTATTTGTTACATTTATATCCAGCTTTTCCACCAAGTAGCTCAAGCCAGTTTACATGTTTATCTTCCCATGCACCCCACTTTGTTTTATTCTCAAAGTAAACACTGTGAGGCAAACTAGGCTCACCCAAGTTGAGTAGCAGTTTGAACCAGTCTCACCAGTCCTGTTCCTAAATTCTAATACAACCCAGGCTGTCCTGTCAATCATACTATATGGGAAGTAAAGTTGTGACTTCAGTTGCTTTGACCTGTATTGCCAGAAAGGAGATTGCTTATGCTTGGTTTAATGCTGAATATTGCTCTTTTTTGCTTCTATTGCAGTGTATTCCATGGGCAACAGTACAAGCAGGCTTTACAGTGCTCTCGCAAAGACTTTGAGCAGTGATGCTGTATCCAAACATCAGGAGTATTTGGAGCAGACAGCAGACTCGGAACTCCTGGATCCCATAGATCCCAAGGATCTGCTTGAAGAATGCCAAATTGTTCTTCAGAAACGTCCTGCGCGACTCCAGAGAGACTTTGTGGACCTGAGGACCAACTCTACCAGAAATGTCCGACCCATTAGAGTCATGCAGTGGAACATACTAGCACAAGGTATAACTCTTAGCCACAAAACTGTTCTTCAATCATTGTGGAATCGAAAAGAAATTTTGTGCATTATGTCAAATGGTGTTCACTAGCAGAAATATCTGCTAGTTGAGCAGGAAAGGCAGCAATTTTGGGTAATTTATATTCCCTTTACAACACCCACATCTGCTCTTGAAGCTCCCCCAGCCTTCTGTAATAGATTTGGGAGTTACACAGAGGGTTGCAGGGAAGAGGGATTTTTTTTTGAAAGTGGTCTTTGTCCCTGTTGCACCAGCAGGTGCCTTCCATCTGCAGAGAGACCACCACTAGATTCAGTCCTGCATGTCTTTGTTGTGCTTCCTTCAATAGACTAGAATAGCTAAAATGGTGACATTGGAGAATCATTAATATATATAATGCCTGCACAATAGGCTATGTTAGACAAATCAATGCTACTTATATTACTGGGGGGAATCCCTACTATTGGAAATAGGGTGGGGATGTCAATGAGTAATCAGCAATTTCGTGCATATATAGAAAACGTGCAAATGCTAGTTCTGTTCCTTCCTTTAAAGAAAATCTGTGTATGCAGAGATCTGCATATCAAGTCTGCCCTCCGACATATGGGCAAGTGCTTTGATTCTTCTAGGTCCCTCCCTTTATTTTGTAGGTACAAAGAGAGTACATGAACTGAGGATCATCAAACATGGATCTGTATTTGGGTCATAGATGAAAAAACATTTTTCCAAGCTGCAGTTTTATGATCTTGGGTAGTGCAGTGCAGAAAATTGTGGATTTGCTTTAAGAAACTTCATACTTAGAACCCAGTTAGAATCCAGTAATGGCTGCCCAATAGACATGCCAAATGGTTGCGCAAGACTGTGCAAGTCAACGCATGCGTTTTCTTTGGCCCTAGGGAAGGGGGATTCAGTCATACAATTCCCCACTTGGTAGTCTGATCACCATAGGAACAGTTTACCATGTAATGAGGTGTTTTTCTAGTGTGCCTTCTTGTTAACTGGGTGCAGATTATATTACTTATTCCCATAAGCTTCATGGAAGGGTAAATTAACTGCTAAAAACTGCTAAAGGAAGCCTTAACCTATGGACATATTGTTTTCATTCCAGCTCTCGGGGAAGGCAAGGACAACTTTGTGCAATGCCCCATGGAAGCCCTGAGGTGGGAAGAAAGGAAATGCCTCATTCTAGAAGAGATCCTTGCTTATCAACCAGATATCTTGTGCCTACAGGAAGTGGATCATTACTTTGATACTTTTCAGCCTTTACTCAGTCGGTTGGGCTACCAATGTACTTTCTTCCCTAAACCATGGTCTCCATGCCTAGATGTGGAACATAACAATGGGCCAGATGGCTGTGCTTTGTTCTTCCTTAAAGACAGATACACACTCATCAACAGCACCAACATCAGGTTGACTGCAATGAAGTTGAAAACCAACCAAGTGGCCATAGCTCAGATCCTGAAGTGTAAGGAAACTGGCAAAATGTTCTGCATTGCTGTTACTCACTTGAAAGCTCGCAATGGTTGGGAGCGATTCAGGTCTGCACAAGGTGCTGATCTTCTTGAGAATCTGAAGCAGATTACCCAAGAGGCAGAAATCCCTCTCATTGTCTGCGGTGATTTCAACGCTGAGCCCACTGAAGAGGTGTATAAAGAATTCTCAAACTCCAGCCTGAACCTGAACAGCGCATACAAGCTGCTGAGTACTGATGGACTGTCAGAACCTCCATATACAACCTGGAAAATCCGTCCCTCAGGAGAATGCAGGCACACACTGGATTATATCTGGTATTCACAACATGCCTTGAAGGTGAATGCTGCCCTCAGTCTTCTGACTGAGGAGCAAATTGGACCCAATAGGCTACCATCGTACAATTACCCATCAGACCACCTGTCTTTAGTATGTGACTTCACCTTCAATGAAGATCCAGACAGGCTGTTATAATAAGGTGTAGTTAGATGAGAATTTCATGTACTGTGCTTATGAAGGCAGTGGCCTTTAAAAGTGATCCCTGAAGACTTTGGGGAAGGGGGATTATTTATGAATGATGAAGCAATGGTTTATTTTCAAATTATAATCTTGAAATATGCTTTTTGTCATTAACACCCTGCTGTGAGAGTAAAAAGTCAAGCAAAACAAAATCTTCTGACTGTTTATTTAAGGTATGCTTTGTGTTATCGCAGTTCTTGGCTGGAGGCTAGAAAAGGGTTGTGCCCTTATTTCAGCAGAGGACTTGTGTCTAGAACAAATATGTAGATAGTCATATCTAAGATCTTGGGGTCAAATGATAAAGCAGTTGCCTTAGTATGTGCACACAGTGGCCCAAAAGGAGAGAGGCTACTCAAGGCGTGCAGTTCCCTTCAAATATCACAATGGCAGTTGTGCTGAATGACTAGATTTTGCTAACATGGCACAGGACCTATTTCATTTTGGAGATACAGTTTTAAAATATACCTGAACTTGTCCTGAACTGAGGCAAAATGCAGGAAGCATAGCAGAGCTGTGGAGCTCTACTGTAGGCAGTACACGATATTCCTAAACTGCAAACCTATGCACACTTAAGAGACCATTCCAGGGATTATGAAGTCCCCTTTCAAGGCTATAACTGTTGCTAATACCTCAGAAGGGGCTAGGAAGCCCAAGAATCTGATCCTTCACCCCCTTGCAGCTATGCCAACAGCTTCCCAATATTGCAAATATTGCAGCCTCAGAGGGAAAGGAGAAAAGCCAGGAAACACTATGACTTCCCATGCCTTGTCAGTGAGTTTCCTGCGCCGCTTATAAATGAGGAAGAATTGTAAAGGGGAAGTCAGAAGCAAAAATGTTTCCTGCCCTCCTGGCTGCCAGCAACAGCTGGGCAGGACATTGGATACTCAGAATTCTCCAAGATCAGAGGCTGCTGTCTAACAAGGGGACAGCCCATAGAGTTGCAACCTTAGTAGAGAATAAGGGCCTTACTTCACATGGAACAGATCTTTAATAATTGTAAGCTTTGTGCAGTGGGATGAATAACAGTTTGGGGACAGGACTAAAAAGCAGAAAAGAAACTGTTCCTTTGACCCCACAGTCCTGATCTCTGTTGTGTGGATATTTTCTAAAGCAGAGAGATAACAATAGATTTCCCATGTCATGCTTTATTTGCTTAAGGTTGGAGACACCTCACTTTCTGGTTTAACATTTGTGGGAATGGGCTATAAATCTACAACCTCCAGAACTGATTAAACCACGTTTATGTCTGCAAATATTCATCCCTTGCAATTTAAGACAATTTAGTTTTAGTTTACCTTTATAGCTTAACTTTAAAATGAGACAAATGGATGGGTATATAACTGTAGCCAGATTATCTGGTTATTTCGTACAAACCAACCTAGAGTTTCACTCAATTCAATGGCACTGCGTTCGTCTTTCTTACCTTTCCCCTCATCCTCTTTGACTATTCCCTTTCTTAACCTTCCTTCTCTTGTTCTACCCCAGTGTAGCTTTGACAATGGCAAAACAGAACTAGCATTAGCATTAACATGGGAAGGCACCTCAGAGGCTTCTGTGACAGGCAGGTAGTCCATCCAATAAAAGCTTCAAGCTTTGCATTACAAACAGGCGAACAGCCTGGTTTCATGGTGCTTCCGAACACATATGCACATGGATGAAGAGGGGTACTGGCCACTTAAGGAGAAACTAGGAACCAGACTAAATTGTGGGTGGGCGACTTTGGCAGGACGGCAATTTACAGGAAAAACTGGGGAGAAACCCATTTTCTTTTAGTGTTCGGTAGCGCCTCAAGGCATTTTTTGCCACCAGCAAGAGGTGCACGTGGTCACTCTCTGCTGTATTTATTTTTATTTCATGTTTTTGCTGCCCAATAGCCAAGGCTCTCTGGGTGGTTAACAAAAGTTAAACACACAAACAAGACAACATAAAACAAGAGAGCTACAGCAATTGCAGTTGAGTCAGCATAGACACATAGCATAGCAAGACAAAATGCAATATTGAAGATACAGTTTAAAAGTTAAGACTGTTAAAATGCTGGGAAAATAAAAAGGTCTTTCCCTGGCACCAAAAGGAATACAAAGTAGACATCGGGCACACCTCTCTGGGGAGCTCATTTCACAACCAGGTTGCCACAACCAAAAAGGCCGCCGCCTCCTACTAGCCACCCACCACACTCCTTTGGAAGGGGCTCCTGGAGGACTCCCTGAAGATGACCTCAGAATCTGGGTAGCTACATATGGGATGAGGCATTCCTTTAGATGGCCATAAGCCATTTAGGGCTTTGACTTCAGCTGGCAGCGAGTGTAGCTGGAAGAGAACTGGCATAATATATTCTCATGAACAGTCTTACTGCCCTGTTTTGGATCAACTGAAGTTTCCAACCATTTTCAAAGGCAGCCCCATGTACAGTGCATTGCAGTAATCCAAATGAGGTTACCAGAGCATGGATAACTGTAGCTGGGCTCTCTCTGTCCAGATAGGTCCATAGCTGGTATATCAGCTTAAGCCAATAAAAGCTGCTCTGTGCCAACAAGTTTGCTTGTGCCTCAAGTGACAACTCTGCTGTAGATGTAGCCAATTCAAAAACAGTCACTAAAATCTTTTATTGAATTAATACCACCACAATTGCATGTGCTTCAAAAGGGTTCAGTGCATTTGTATTCTTGCATATTTCTAGAATGAATTGGAGAAAGTTTGGATCTACAAAGTGTAAGTTGGTCCTTGAGTCAACACAAATCATGCAAGTTTCATCTTTTTTGTTGTTGAATGGGATTATATTATGCCAAACAACTGTTCTCCTCTTGAGGGCCTAGCATCCAGGAAGGCTAAGGATTTAGGACAGGGGTATTATAGCATGGTATTTGATTAAAGGGCATTCATGGAGAAAAGCTCCATGACATTCCGCATGAATACATTTCTTAATTTCAAGGAAAATTAAGTGCTTAGTACTGGGTATCTGAAATCACTGTTTTCAGTTCAATGTGCAAAAGCAATTGTTCCCATGAGATTCTCTTCCACGACCTGGTACTGATGTTATTTCCCTTCCTACACTATAGAGTTCCAAAACTCTGGATCCAAAGTAATTGTGAACAAAAGGAAAACAGTTGCTGGCTCTGTTTCACAAACATTTGTGCAAGACATTACAAAACTTAGGTGCAAGAAGGTACTGTAACAAATCTCATGCACCACTGGTTCATGGAAGAACATTGTCAGAATTTCACACAGCAGTCTACAGCACAAAGGTAAACAGTCCTTCCTGCATACACAGGACCGACTAGTCATGTGATCTCAAGCAGCATTTTCAGGTAAGACTTTTATCAAATTAAGGGAAAAAGAAAGCAGTATTAAAGATGCCTTCAACATAAATGATACTTTAAAAGATAATGCAAATAGCTACTATGCAGCTACCTTTCTTACCTTGGGATCTGTATTCACACATTTATGAACTACTCACGAGTAGTCTCTGCGCGCCTTCATCTTCCCTCTGAATGGAAGCATGTATCCCAACAAACTCTGTGGTTGGGAAACAGTCCCAGCATATACCACTCCTGGCTGCATTTCCTGCCTTTCCCCCACTGACCCACACACTCCCATGGGAGTATTCTCAGGGGCTGCTCCACCCACTCCATGGAGCACCTATCTACACAAGAGAGCAGCATGGCTGTCCCCATAGTCACTGCTCCTGTCTTGCCTCCTGCTGCATGCCCTCCAAAGGATCACCCACCTTTCCCACAGACTGTCCAGACCACTGAGATGCCTGTCTTGCCCACCTGGCAATGTGCTGCCTCCCACATGAGCATTTTCCCCTCTCACACAAGCATGCAAGGGGTGATAGAGGGCTCACACAAGAGGCCATGCCAGGCAAGTAAGATGGGCATCTCAGCAATCTGGCCAGGCAGGGGGCATTCAGCCAGGTAGCAGGCAAGGTGGGCAATTCAGCAAGGCACACACTGGGGAGGAAGACAGGCAGTGCAAGGCAACTCAGACACTGCTAGGTGAACAGGGCAGTGGAAAATGGCAGCTTGCTGCCAAACTCACTGTCAGAAAAGGGGAAACAACAGAAAAATATTGTAAGCAGTTTCAGTGTCCTAAGCATTTCCTAGTCCACCAGGGAAGCTACCTGAATAAAAATTGAGATCGGATTAGACTGGCAGGATTTGTCCACAAGAAATCCGTGTTGGCTTCTTGCATTGCTGTCAAGATGTTTACAGAATGACTGATTTATACTTTGCTCCAGAATTGATTAGTCTGTAGTTCTCAGGTTCCTCCTTTTGAAGATAGCAGCATTAGCCCTTCTTGAGTCATCTGGCACTTCACCCACTCTCTATTTCTCAGAGATAATACACAGTAGTTCTGAGTTCCTCCCAGTTCCTTCATTATGCTAGGATGCAGTTGATGAGACCCTTGAGATCTGAACCGAAAGAAATTAGGTGTTCCATGACCATTCATTTATTCACCTTAAACTTTAATCCTCCCTCTTGAGCGTACTTCAACTTTGCCAGGAAGAATGAGCCAACAAAGGAATTGAACATAAATGCCTTTATCATTTTGTCTTCCCGAGTAGTTAAACCACCATTTCTTTCCTCTGTGTTTAGTAGACATATCTGAAGAAAGGGTTTTTTTTAGCATCACGAAATCCACTATCCTCAGCTCATTCTCAACTTTAGCCTTCCTAATGCCATCCTTGCCATTCCATGCTACCTGCCTGTTTCCTTCCTTTGTAGTTTGGCCGTCCATTTCTTATGTGTCCTTCAATCAAGGATAGCCAATCCTCTATTTCATTCCTCCACTTTCTTATTATTAGCAACACCAGTCAAGAATTTCTTGAAGGGACCACATCTGATAGAATTTGTCTCACAGCAAATACCAGGGAAATTGGTATAGCTATTGTATTAGTAATTACTACTACACTTCATGTGTCCTTGAACTATTGACAATTTTTCCTAAATTCCTCATGTAAAACACTTCAGTGTGGATGAATGTACACAACCCATATCTAATAGTCACAAGTATCTGTTTTACTATATGAAGATGGAGCTGACATTAATGAAGCTTTTCCAAATGTGTCTATGTCACCTCCTCTTCAGACAATTGTGGTGTTTGTTTCTTATTGTGCCTAGGAATGACTGTGCTTCCCAAAATGGATAAGCGTTTTAAAAGCTCTATGTATGGATTCAGACAAATGTATCACAGAAACTGCAATCACATAATATCCTGCATGAACTGAAGCTTCAACAGTGAAACTGTGGTCCCAAAATTCAAAATGAATTCATACGGCAGCTTCTAGACTCCAATTCAGTCAACCAGTTGGCCACTTGTGGTATTGTCCAGGCAGATTCAAGAAGGGAACTGAGAGGTGCTTCTGGTTTTTAGTTTCTATTCCTAGCAACTGACAGCCTTGAGTACAATGAGACAGAAGCATTACCTACAAAGGACTGAAGGTGGTTGCAGAACAAGAGGCACTTCTAACAAACCTGATTCTAGTAATGTCGTCATCAATGATTATAGCAAGTACTTACCTCTGCTCCCCCTTTAGGAAGTTGGTTACATTAATTCATTCAGAAAGGGTAAGACAGTAGAACAGGAATGTGTTAAAGAAGGTGCAGCTCAGAAGTCCTGCTATTTATTATTCAGTTTTGGTTAAAAGTATTTTACATTCATTTCTCTTGGTCATGGTAAGAACCATATAGGACTGCTATACTGCTATTACTAGTGCAGTATGACGTAACTCCCACACACTTGACAGTTTTTCTTTCTGTGTTTGGTATATACTGTTTAGAGATAATTGTTTCCCACACGATCTTATGTTAATCCTTGTATCATAAAACCAGACCTGTGAGAACACCTGCCAAACTGCACATTTCAGAAGCAAGAAGCAATTGCTACTTCCAGTACACTTTTAGAAGCATGGTAAATGAGAGAAGACCCTTCATTGCTTGATACTTCTTCGAACACTAGTTCTAGTCCTAGTTCTAGTCCTGAAATTAGAGGCTCAAGCATAGAAGAATGAATCTATGTAGCACTGCGTATCTCAATGAACACCAGAGGGCATATTAAGACTTTCAAAAAAAGAAAGAGACTAAGCTTAAATTTCATCTTTGTATTTCAGTAAAACCTACTTGAATACACTTTGAAACAAGAGTACAACAAAATAGAATATACTTTAAATGTTGAATATACAAACTATTATAGTTCATTCTGAACACTGGTACTTCCCCTCTAACCTCAACTAAAAAATGTACAGGGTTTTAGCTACCTGACAAGAGTTCATGCCAAGTGTGACCTTTCAAGTGACAGAGCAGAAGTTGAAATTGAAATGTATGCACAGATGTTGAGGCTAAGTGGGTGACCCAAACTTGGTGTTGCAAAAGGCTGAAACAACCCTATGGCCATTTTGCCCACAATTAAGAAACTGACAGACTTGACTACCATACAAAATATGTTACAAGTAATTCTATAACAATACTGTGCTAGGTATAAGATTTTTAAAAAATTGTTTTAATAAAAAATGCTTTACACAAACAAGCCATTAGCTTATTTCAAGAAAGATAACTGAAAATCAGTCTAAGGCTTTCATTTTAAAATCTGCTTAAGCTGTATGATACAGAAATCCCTCATCTTCTTTCAGAAGCTCTTTAATTCACTCCTTTAATTCACATTCTAGAATACGTAGTAGCAGAGATTTTTCACATAGCACCAGTAGAATACTGTGAGTACACAGTAGTAATTGCTGGTATGCATATTAAAATGCATCAAATTTGTCTTCTGTAACAGTGAGACTCTTCCTATACCCCCGCAATACACATAAACCAAGAACCCCTCACAGAATCAGCTTAGTGTTCCATGTCTTAGTGTAACTCAGTAATGCAGTGAACCTCTTGAACCCTCATTAGTCCCAGTAATTGTCCTTCTTCATCAGTTTAGTAGCTTCCCAGCTTGCAAGAGTCAATTTTGTCAGTGTGTGGATGTGGTTCAATTCCCACTGAAACATGGGACATTACTTCTCTTCCAGTAAATTTCAAACATATGCATAACTATTAACATTTTTTTTAAAAAAAAACTCAGTTTTTTACTTCTTGATTGTATCCATTTCCCTGCCTCCCTAATATGTCAGTTTGCTTATTTCCACAATGGTCTATGCAATTAATGTTCATAGGTGCTTTTTCTTCATTTGTCACATGTTACAATTCCCTCCGTTTTCACTGTTACAGGGAGGGCAATGGCTGAAGGTGTACTGACGACCACTACGTGGGTAACCGTCTTGGTTCCATCTGCTGGCTTTTCTTCTTGCACAAGTTGCAGTGTCTTAACCTCTCGTTCCTGCTTTATAGCTACTGCTTCAGATTTGACCTCTGGACCTTTTATAACTGCACTAATAACTCTTGGAGGAGTATGGCTACCTGCCTGCTGAGCAGGCATGGACAGTCTCATCACTGGGGTCCCATGGGCTATAGACACTGGAGTGAGTGCTCTCACAGCCAGTGGGGTTCCAACTATGTTAATACTTCCTGTCCCAGGCAAGCCAGTTTTTGTTTGCAACTGGCACTGTGCAAGTTGCGTAGCAGGGATGGTAATTATTTTGGTAGGCTGCATTGTGATTTTCTCTCCATTTTCAGCAGATGCTGGCATTACTGTAGGGATTGTCTGGATAACTACCTTTGGGGTTGCTGCTGTTGTTGGGCTTGTACTGGTGATCAATGGTGACCCTGCATTTACTGACTGCACTGCAACAGTCGATATTTTCTGTCCCAGGGATGTCATTACGACAGGCACTTGCATGGCCACACGAACAGTTCTGTTAAACATGTGAAGACAAAAATTGTATTAAGAACAAATAAGCAATATGGAAAAATGATCTAACTATGATAATGAGATAGAGTTTGTTTGCATACTTTTTAAAAATCTTCCTCTTTAATTTGAAACTGAAACTAGAAATTTCCCATCCCTGTCTCTTAGGTATATTTGCTTCTTAAAGTTACAGAATTTAAATTCCGTTTCCTTACTGCTACTGCATTGACAATTGCAATTAAAATGTGAAAATATGGTTTTAAACCACAGAACTAAACCATCTTAACATTAAACAAGGTAAAGATGCTTAACTACCTTAAATTTCAACACCCTGGCCAGCAATAAAGCCATCTTTAGAGAATTAAAGGGCAACAAAGCTACAAAGTTAACAAAGTCAATGTCAAAAGAGCACCACATCTAAATTCAAACTCCTTGATTTACAAGGGTTAGGGTTATGGAGAACAGTTTATATATCTTTGTAATCCCAATCTAAATAATTATTTTTAGACTGACCCTCCAATCATACAGAATGGTTCTACAAAAATTCCTTCAATGTCAGCCCATTCAATAGACAAATCATGCAGTGCGAACCTTGGAGCAGTTGTTGCTGGAACAGTAGTAGTGGTGGGAGAACAAGATGACATTTCATGACCAGGTGAGGAGATATTAACCATTCTGGTAACAGGCTTTTCTGCTCTTGCACAAGTCAACTGAGAAGCACTTTTTCCAGAACGAGCAGAGGTTGCTGCTTTCAAGAGGTTTTCTGCTGACAACGAAACTCGTTCTAATGATTTCTCATCTGTGGGGATTGATAACTCTTCAGTGCCACATTCACTTTTGTCATCAATAACCACAATATTTTTGGGCATTTCCTTAAACTGATATACAAGCCTTTGTCCTTCCACTTTTGCCAGAATTCCTCTTTGGTAATAGTATCTGCAAGAAAAAAATGCAAGTGTATACAATAAGAAAATAAACAATAATCTTTCTTTGCTTTCTGGTTTCCAATCATCAAGGTACTTTACTGACATAGACAAAAATCTTAAAATAACATGAGTTATTCATTTAAAAAGCACACAGAAGAGTGAAATAATTAATGTTTCTGTAAAAAGCTACTAGTGGCTTCAGTGCATATTGCCATTTTAATCCAACAAAGCTCAGAAATGTTGGCACTGAAGTTCCCAATCATGTGTAACTAGCAAGGGGGAAAAAAATCCGCTAAGGTTCTTCTTTACCCCTCCCTTTTTTTCTTTTCTTTTACCTCAGAGCTCTTCCCATTGTTTCATAGTTCATGTCAGGCTTGTTCTTATGTTTCCCCCACAGTTTGGAAACCGCTTTTGAGTCTACAAGTTTAAAAATGCCCTTTTCCCGTTGAGTCCACTTGATATATCGAGGACAAGTATTTTTGTCCTGAAGCAGATCCAGAAGGAATTCCCACAAATAAGTTGTATTTCCTAAAAACAAAAAACAAAAGCCAGCATAAATTTAGGGTAATTAGCATATTTTAAAATTTCCAAAGAAGTGCAAGATATCGTCACACAACTACCTAATGAAATAATATAGAATAATTAGGTCTATTACATATCCTTATTTCTGTGAATGGGATATATTATTTTCAGAAAGTGTACAACCCAAAGTTTTGGGAGAAACATTTTAATTTGTTAAAAATTCTCAATTTTGGAGAATGAGTGGGATTCATGTGTCAAAAGTATCCACAGAATGCTAACCCAAGGTCTGTTCTAGGCTGTGAATGTGATACCCAATGTTGACTTCATATTTAAAATAAAAAGGATTGCAGGTCTAGATACAGATATACTAGGGAAAATTTCTGATAAAACCATGAACTTATGCCTTTAAAACATCTGTGTCTGTATTTTACACCCCAAATAAATGTTAGCCATAAGTTATTTACAGAACACTCACAGCCTTAGGATTCCAATTAACAAAAAACTCCATATTTTGAAGACTTGAAGACTAAATGCTAAACCTGAAGGATAATTCAGGCCAATGCTATGTCTCCCTTTCTGATAGCCATACTAAGGGAATATGACAAAAGTGGTGTCACCCATAACTTTATCCAGGCATACAAATCAGCAAAAGACCAGCACAATAAATTTAAATAACCTTATTGAAGGAAAACAACAGTAACAAACAAAGTGAAACTAACATATATGGAGAGGGTCTCAACTAAGCTTCCCACAACAAAAATATTCTCCATCCATAGAATGATGAAAAACCTAAGTATTTGTTCAAATGCATTGAGCTTTCAGAATGTCACCAAAAAGGAGAAGATACCATTGTCATCAGCAAGATACCGTCTGCTCATTTCCAAGGACAATAGTCCTGCACCCAGCAATTCTCACAGACAACTCTGCACAACTCAAAGGGAGACTGCTAACTGTTGAGAAGACTGAAGTCACATATTGCTCTAAGTATTATCAACCATTATTAGGAAGTCATTCAAATTCATTCCTCTGTTGTTGAACAGTCATAGATACTGCATGATTACAAAATACAACTGCTT